GCTTAGTGTAAACCAACAAAATGGTTAAGAGTCGCTCGTAATTCGAGTCAACTCGAGTCACTCGCAACTCGGGTTATCAAAAATTTCACTCGAGTCCGAGTAAGAAAAAAATGACTCGAGTCACTCGAGTAAAAAGCAACTCGAGTCCCATCACTACTCTTTGGTCAAAATTTAAGTTATTTTCCAGTTATTTCACGTAACTTTGTTTACGGTATTTCTATTATAAGAAGCGGAATTTGATTCCGCTATTCCGAATTAAAATAATTTAGCACCTTTTGGTGTTATTTGGAAAATGTATTTGTCGTCGATCAGCTCCCGTTTGCTTCTGTACGATACCAACAGTTGGGATTTGAAAAAATCTTACGACTGTTATGAAGGTATATTGCGGGATGTATCGTGGAGCGACGACAGCAAATACATTTTACAGGTAAATATGTTATTGGCATTGGATGATATAAGTTTTACTTCTTTTAAATATATATTTTAACTATCGTTATTGGATATGGTGGAGATGTCGAATTAAAACTTGTCGTCTTATATCTTTTATTTTTAATTTAAAAATATAAATACAATGGTTGCTTTATTTAAATTACAGTACACAAGTTATTAATTTTTTTGTGTAAAATTTGCAGGTTAACTCCAAAGGTCTAATTGATATTTTGAGCCCTGCAGAACATGACATCCGTAGCTTACAACATGTACCATTGAAAGACACTTGGTCTGCTAGCTTTCATCGCGATGGTCACCGTAATGTTGCAATAGGCACAAAAAATGGTAATGTTTTGATCTGGGATACAAAGAACAAAAGTGTTACGAAGAATTTTTCTGCTCCATCACAAGCGTCGTGTGTCAATTTCATCAGTTATAATGTGAAGAATACAAGTTTGGCCGCAGCAATGGGTAATGGTGACACAGTGATTTACAGTCTTACATCAAATATTCCACTCATGACTGTAAAATTGTCTTGTTCTAAAAGCATCTCAGCGATGAAATTTCACAATGAATCAAGATTTCTTTTAGGACTTGCCACAGAGGAAGGTCATGTTGTAGTTAAGGATGTTACTTGTAACAAGGATAGAAATTATTTTGAGAACATCCATGCATCCCCAGTTAGTGATATTGCATACTCACTTATCAATAGAGATGTATTACTGTCTTGTGGTTATGATAAAATCATGCATGTTTATGACATTCGGATGCAAAATGTAGTTTCAACGATAACAACTTTGTATCCCCTTAAATCTCTCGCCATTAATATCGAAAATCAAGTTGCTCTTGGAACGAAAAATGGCTATATTCTTATTTATGATTTGCGTGACTTAAATGCACCATTCAAAGTTTTGAGAGGTCATAACGAAGAAGTCTGCAAGGTGGCTTTTCAACCATCTCGAAAGAAAAATTTAAATGATACAAGTCTTAGAGAGGATGTAGAGGTTAATTCTTCTTTTAAATTACAATCACCAGCGAGAGGGAGGACATCAGATACATTTTTCATTAATGATACACCACCAAGACATGAGGAAGCATCACCTCAAGGCCTTGATAATAAAGTAGATTCATTTCTGGTTATGATGGGTCTTGATAAATCAAATGCAGACATTGATGAGGATGGAATTAAATCAGTTGATAATGGAGAACGGAGAAGTGACAAATTTGAGTTTAGATACTGTCAATTAGACGCTGAGAAGAATATAAGCAAAATATCTACACCGATAACAAGTCGAACTGCAGATAATTTACAATTCACATCACCTCTGATGATACCAAATGGAACACATGACAAAAACCTGAATACTAATATACCTGATTTAAAACTATCAAATTTAAATGTTGAAAATGTAAATTCGAAAAGTATCGAAGAGTTAAAAGACTTTATTAAATTGACGTTAGCTGATGTTGCAGATGATAATAGGAATTATTTCCTTCACATTATGATGGCTTTGACGAAACAGAAACTATTTTTAGAAAAGCAGCTGTTTGGGATGAATGAACAGATTCACACTTTAATTCAAAATCAGAATATGTTGGTGGAAACGAATAGGAAGCTTGCCTTACAAATAGAGCAGTTAAAAGCACAGCAAAATCACTTTTGAATAATCACTAATGACATATTACAATATTTATAATGGAAATCTCATAACATTGATAACTTTTAATGAATTTGTATTGCAAAATTATGGCCTTTAATGTGATATTTATATAAGATTTTTACTGACTGATCAGCATATATTAATTCTCTGTTTTAAATTATTTTTAAGGTTGACGTTAAAATATGTATTTATAGCTTTAAATCTAAGTTGAAATATGAATTTGCTTATTGAGACACAATAAATTTATTTGTTAACTGTCTCTGTTAGAGATCTGTCTAGTGCCATGTTAACGGTAAAAGTTGTAAAGTATTTAATAGACAATAATTGTTTCTTCACTGAGATTACTTCTTGTTAATGTTTCACTAAATACATGTCTTTTTACTATTAAAGTTTCTTATTTAGCCTTTTTGGAACAAGTAGATTTTGAGGGAAAAAAATGTTGAAGCGCATATTGTACCATAATCGGAAATCCTGAGAGTACATTATGTAGTTTGCTAATAAACAATTTTTTTCTTAATTTTTCTGCTTATTTCTTATTTAGACTGTAGTCAAACACTAACCGTTTCCACTCTGAAATTTCACCAATCTATGGAAGCCCGATGACAGATGAGATTTTTATAAATGTCAGTGTCACTGTCAATTTTAATGTCGCACGAACAGGGTTATTTATGTGTTATTGAACTTAATAAAATTCGAATTTACGCTTAAAATATAATGGCCGAACTTGCGGCAACAAATTTATTTGAATCACAAACTATCAATGCAGATCACAAGGACCTTATCCACGATGTTGCTTATGATTTTTACGGAGAAAGAATGGCCACTTGTTCCAGCGATCAGTACGTTAAAGTAAGTTTTTTTTAAATTTAGTACGCTATCTAAGTGTATTTAATCTTGAAAGATGAAGTTTAGACTCGAAACTTCTTTATTATGTTAAGTCGTCATCCCAGTAAGTGCAACTTTTATTGAATTTTCCCAGGTGTGGGATACAGATGGGCGAGGCGGTTGGCGGCTTACGGGCAGCTGGAAAGCCCACCATGGTTCTGTCTGGAAGGTGACTTGGGCTCACCCAGAGTTTGGCCAAGTTTTAGCAACATGTTCATTTGACAGAACTGTTGCCATATGGGAAGAAGTTGGTAAGAAGACTTATACATAAAATTTATAATGATTAGATTTTATTAGGAGATAACAAATAAAAAAAAAGACAATAGAAGTCTAATTAGATAAAGTAATCAGTTATTATATAAAAGATATAAAATTTCTTAATATTATTTTAGGTGATACAACTGCTCCTGGCTCCGAGAAAGGTCTCCGCACGTGGGTAAAACGGTCAAATTTAGTGGATTCTCGGACCTCAGTGACAGATGTAAAGTTTGGTCCAAAACATCTAGGTTTATTGCTTGTCACTTGTTCAGCTGATGGAATTATAAGGTAAAAAATTAATTTTGTGAGTTTGAATACATCCTTATTGTAGGGCTTGAACCTTATCTTAATTTAAGTTTAGTTAACGAAATATTGTAAAAAGATTTCTTTTTTCTGAATTAATTTTTAAATATTACTAATTACTTAAGCTTGCCTGATCCTTTTTAGCATATTTTTTATTAAAAAAAAATCGTTTAAAAATCCTAGCAGCATTTTATCTTGACATGAAATACTGTTGATTCCAGAATCTATGAGGCTCCTGATGTAATGAATCTGGCACAATGGACCCTACAGCATGAGATTCCTACTAAAGTATCAATTAGTTGTCTATCATGGAACCCTACATTATCAAGGTATTTACTATTGAATAGTAATCAATTAATTCCACACTTAAAGTCAATTATAATCCCTCAGTGAAGATGGGAAAAAAGTTACGTAAATAGAAAGCTCCTAATTTTTAAAATTTACCTTAAATATCTAAATTCATTTTATCATCAAACAACTGTGTTTCTTACACGTACATTTATGGTTTATTAGCTTTCGCTCGTGACTCCATCCGCATGGTTTTAAAAAAAACAAAACTTAGTAGCCTATGTGTTCTTCCAGACAATATTCTACGTCTATACCAAATTTTATTGTAATCCGTTCAGCCGTTTAGGCTACAAACTCTAAGAAACATCCTTCTATCTACAGTTTCGCATTTATAATGTTAGTATGATTATTCCACAGCAACAGAGTGAACCCACCGATGTTGGCAGTGGGCAGCGATGAACCAAATATACCCAATGCTAATAACCAAGTGGACAAAACTTGTAATGGAAAAGTTTTTATTTTTGAGTAAGTAATTTATTACATTTATAGACTGCATTGGTAACTCAAGGGTTAAGCACATGACTTGTAATCTACAGGTCCTGGGTTTGAATGTTGCCATGTACCAATATATTTTTCAATTCATGTTTTGCTTTAGTTTAGTTAATATCTAATATTTTTACGGTTTAGGAAGATATTGATGCAAACTGTACATATCTGCAAAGAAATTAAAAGTCATGTCAAATTCAAAGTACTCCTAGGTACTCCTAACTTAGTGTAGTTCCTAACCCTCAGTGGGGAAGTATTATAGAGGAAATCCGCTGTGTTCCACTTTAGGAATAAATGTCTTGTTCATTGCAACAAGACAAGCACTTTTTACAGGTGACTAACTAGATAACATTGAGTGGTACAACCAAAAGTATAATAATAAAAACTAGCCGTGTATTACTAATGCTTTTTTTCGTATAGATACATTCTATAAGCTGCGTTTTATTGGTTTTTCTTACGTGTCTCGTTACAGAATGCTTAAATGCTTGTAGCTTATAAAGTGGCTTACCGCAGCTTTCTGCTATTGTACATAGAATGTTTGTAGATACGCGGAGACGTCGCGGCGCTGGACGCGCACGGACTGCGTGTCCGCGGTGCAGGAGCCCGTCAACGACCTGGCCTTCGCCCCCAACCTCGGCCGCTCCTTCCACCTGCTGGCGCTCGCCACCAAGGACGTCCGCATCATCAAGATTGAGCCACTGCCGTGAGTCGCATTTATGTCAAGTGATTTAGACCAAACACAGTATGGATAGATTGTGTGACAGATATGCTTAAGAAGGGAATGGATTCAGATATGACGGCTGATAGAAATTTATGGATGAGCGCATACTGAGCGCATACTCTGCCAACTCTCTGTAGAGATGAGGGCAAGTTGATAATGATTTTAAAAATGTTGCTAACTGTCAGATCATTTTTTTAATGTCCCGGAACAGCTAGTATTTGTTTTTAATCTTATAGTTATGAGAAATATTTTAAAGATTATCTTTATGTGCAGATTACATTGTCACATTGTAACAATGTGCAGATTACATTGTCACATTGTAACGCACAGGGTAGACATTGATGGTATGGACTCACTGGTGCCAGTGAGTGCACATTACGCCAGTTGAATGTCGGTTCAACTGTAATTGCCAAATGTGAACCGTTATTTTAAATGTTAAGAAAATTGAATGCACTGATATATTAACATAGTTAAAGATAGATGTGACCCAGTTTGAATTTGATAGACTATTTCGTGTTTGATAGCGAGTCGTCCGGCGGCTCGGGTGCGGGGGGTGTGGGGGGCGTGGGGGGTGCGGTGGGCGTGGGGGGCGGCGGGGGCGGCGGGGGCGCTGGGGGCGGCGCGTGCGGCGCGCGCTACAAGACGGAGGTGCTGGCGGCCTTCGACGACCACTACTCGTGCGTGTGGCGCGTGTCCTGGAACGTGACCGGCACGCTGCTCGCCTCCTCCGGCGACGACTGCTGCGTCAGGCTATGGAAGAGTGAGTCCCTCTGCTTTCTGTTCCTGTGCGGCTTCATCCGCATCAAGTTATAAAAACTTCTATTGTTTACATTTTGTGTTTTCAATTGCAAATATCAAAATATTAAAATCCAAATGCACAAATGACAATGGTCTTTGACATTGGATAACAGTTACCATGGCAACTTTACTTCCTTGATGTCAGCTTATAGTTTTTGTCCCTTTCCCTTATGGTTTTCTCCAAATTATTTACTTTCCAAGTTTAATAGCGTGAAAATATATAGCTTTAAGCGTCTCGTAAGTTTAGAGCTCTTAATTAAAAAATATCTAATAATAAACTGTGATTGGTGATATCCTTACATAAGTAATGTGTGTTTACGCTTTATTATGTTTTTAAAAATTACATCTGCATTTAATTATATAATAGGTGTATTAATTTTCAGAAAACGAGGAGGTCGGTTGATTGAGGTGTTTTTTGTATTCCAGTGCAATACTTGAACCAGTGGAAGTGCGTGGCGGTGTTCAAGAACGAGCCGCAAGCGGGCGACTCGCCGACGCCGGGCCGCGCGCACACCACCTACACGCGCCTCGCCGCCATGGCCAACGCCGCGCACATGCCGCACCACTGACGTCACGCCCCGCTCGCCCCGCACGCCCCGCACGCCCCGCACGACCCCCAGTGAGTGACGTCACCACACAAACATTACACACGTGTCACGTGACACCAACCTTTACAAACGTCAGTGTTGCCGTTTTACCACTACGTCTGTTTGCTTGATGATGTTTTAGTCCTACTATCTTACTTCTTACTAATATTATAAATGCGAAAGTTTAGATGGATGGATGGATAGATGGATGGATGGATGTTTGTTAGCGTTTGTAGCCTAAACGGCTGAACGGATCTCCATGAAATTTGGCACAGGTTTAGAGCATAGTCTGGAAGAACACATAGGCTACTTTTTATCCCTGGAATAGTTACGGTTCCCGTGGGATTTATTAATTTAGTTTTTTTAATATTTACTCGATCATTCTGCAACGGTTCAACATATCTTATTGAAATTTGGCACATACATAAAACAAAGTCTGGAGTACACATGGGATGAGGTTCATCCCCGAGAAATGTCCGGTTCCCGAGGGATACGTAGCTTTTTGTTATTTATATAGTTCTTATGTTTTCTAATACCACGCGGACGAAGTCGCGGGCAACAGCTCTACGTAATAATTTGTAATTTTTGTAAAAATAATATAAATGCTCAATTTGTAAAAATTGCTCTATTATTTCATTATACAAAAAAGTATATAGATAAGGCAATAAGTAGAAAAGAAGTTTGTTCAAAAAAAACCACCTGTATTTAGTAGCCGGTACAGTAAGATAAAAAAATAATAATTCGCTTATACTTACATGAGGTGGTCTCGATAAAGGAATTTTTTTACAAACAAAAAAATGCTTAAAAAATATGGCCGTCGAAAATATTCGGGCGTGTGGAAGTGCCCGCGGACTTGCTTCACTTGATGGGGGCGGTGCGCCGGATACGTTGCGGGAGCGCCTCCTTGCCCAGCGCCTTGCCCAGCGCCGCCTTGCTGGACAACCACGGCACCTGCACACAATAATACTCAAAAAACGCTCACACTTCAAACTATAACAGTGGTAGAGCCCGCGAGTAATATCTTCGCAATTATGGGCCAGCTCGCCCTTATACACAAACCACAAAGAAAAAGTGTGGTGCCAGAAGCCTAATTCCAGTCGTCTTGTACGGAAAAGATCGGAAGGAAAAGTGGATTTGACGGTGGAAGAGACGCATAGAAAGAGGAAATATGCTCTTTATGTGCCTTCTTCTATGCCCATTGAGGGTAGGCAATTGCAGATGTCTATGGGCAGCGGTCGCTTCGCCTTTTTGGCGAATTCAGGTGGCCGCTTTACACCTTTGCTACTTTATAACATAAAAAAAACTTTTATTCAAAATAGTACAAAACCGTATGTTAAAAATATTCTCACCGGCATCGCTCTTTCGCTCTTGCAGTGGCTGTTAGTTGACGAATGAGGACTGATTATGTTTCTGTAAAATTATTCGAAATTAAAAAGAGCTCGTATAATTATTAATAAAATGCGTTACACGATATACAAACCCAAGTGAAGCGCGCTTGATGCCGGTCGCGGTGGTCTGGATGAGGAGGCGCGCGGGCGGCGTCGCCAGCGCCCCGCCCACTCGCCAACTTTATTATCAAACACTTTCTATGAAAACTTACACAATGATAATTTAACAAAACCACAAGTCAATATAATTAATTGTATTTAAATGAATTGCCACTAAATTAGATTTAAATGTTTTTTTTTTTATCTTATGACTCTTTTTATTTTATAAGAAAAGAGAGAGCTTATTGTCATTTTTGTAAAACATGTCTATGCAAGGACGTGAGGTCGCGTACTAAACTTGACGACATAGTACCATTCAAATAAGTTACCGGTAAAAAATGTTCACTATGTCTAGTCTATATATTTCTTATTCTGTGTATTCTGACCTGGGCATGGCGTCTCCCGCGCGGCGGTAGAAGTCCGCGCGGCGGCAGTCGAGCGCGTTGGGGCAGGGCGGCGGGCGCGCGCGCTCCTCGTGCGGCTTGTGCGCGCGCGCCGCTCGCCCCTCGCGCCCCTCGCGCCCCTCTCTCCGCTCGCACACGTCCGTGCTGGAGTGCTCCGTGATGCTGGGCAGCCGCGAGTTCATCGTGCAGTCTCCGCTGTCGTACACTATAATTTTATTCGAAATAAAATGCGCGGGCACCATCTGATTCGTTTTCGGACTCTGCTCGACCGGATTCTTCTTTGCCACCTCGATAGCTTTCACCTTTTCGATCTTTCTATCGATTATTCTTTGCCGTAAAATATCCTTAGGGATGCAGGTGGTGATCGGCTTGGTGAACACGGCGCTCGGTTTGGGTCCTTGTATTTTGATGTCCGGGGGCTTGGGCGGCAGCGTGGTCATCCTTCTGATGGGGCTCTTGGAGCCTCTAGGTGGGGAGTGTCCGAAGAATCTTCTGCTAGACGAAGCTTCGAGTTCACTTCTGACCCTGTACTCCGGAGGGGAGAGCGGTCTGGCTTCCACGGTGTTGGTGGACCAGAGCATGTCTGCGCCGGCCACCGAGTGCATGAGGTGGAGGTGCGTCTTTATATTAAAGATGCCCGCTACTGGACCGAACGGGTCCGCCTTTATCTGCGATATCACGTCCACTTTCGTCTGACCGCAAAGCTCGGCCACTTGATTATATATCTGAAAATGAAAATATCGCCAATGTAACTAACAAATTTCAAAATCGTACAAATTAAATAAAACAATCACAAAGAAATTAAGTTTTATAATGTCTGACCTCTCTGTTAATTTTGGGTTCGGTGGTGCCCAGGGGGTGCGTCTTCATCCTCATGCCGGGTTTGCGTATCCAGCGATGACGCGCAGCCTCCTCGATCTTTAGTCTAAGCTCCACATTCGGTTCCAGCAGGTGCTGGATGAACGTTTTGCATTCTGTAATAAATACATAAATAACAGAGCCATGTATCGATATTTTCCTCTAGTCTTTTACCTGACTCATAATTTTTCCTACGCAGTTTTTTTTATAACTTTTTTAATCTGTTTCAGGTCATACAAAATGAGCGACGGAGACGTGTCGTGTATAATCTGTGCTGTGAACTGTCAAACTGTTGAGTTACGTTGAACTATTGTGTTTAGTTTTGTTAATGTTATATTAAGGAACACAAGAGTAACGATATATGAATGTAATGCTTGTAAACTTGATTTATAATTTTTCCATAAAACAACTTTTATTCAAATTGTGTTTTAATTTATCATATTCTTTTGTCAGTTCCAAAGCAAGTGACAACTATCAATAATGCCTAGTTCTCACTAAGCTTATAATTAAGTCCAGTACCGATACGGTAAGTAAAATACTCTCTAAAAGTTTTACTAATCTGCCTAAATTATCATTATTCAGACACGTTTAGTTACTGAATTACTTGCTAATTGACTAATTTACTGGCGCGAACTAGGCATAAGACATTGCTTAACTTGGCAACGGTCTCCTTTGCGGCGAGCGGCGCAGAATAGGTTAAAAACTGCTTGAAATTTGTCTCTGATATTTAAATGTCTGTGTAATTTCACGCAATTAACATAACTGTAACAACGTAATTAGAAACACTCAGGCCACTGCCTCCCGCCAGAAAGGCGCGCTATTCCAATGTCGGAATGACATTGACAGATGTTAGATAGGGACAGGACTATGCCAATAATCTAGTGTTGCGCTAATCCAGCGCAGTACTGATTTATTAACAGAAAGTCGAGATTTTAGCCCACTGTGCCCCACTTTTCGCCTGTAAGTAATGACTAACCACTGGAGACGCAGGCGAGCGCGACTCGCTGCTTGCGGGAGAAGCCGCGCGCGATGGCGGCGCGCAGCTGCGGCCGCGACCGCCCTTCCGCGGACTCTGCGTCCGCAAACGGCAGGCTGCCCGTCACCATGCCGTACACTATCACACCGCTGCAATCACAACGATATCACTTGGTATCGTGGGCCCAAGTTGGGAGATCAATGTCTAAAGATCATTATATCTTACTTAGTACTAATATTATAAATGCAAAATTTGGATAGATGGATGTTTGAGTTTCTAGCCTAAATGGGTGATCGGATCTCGACGACATTTCGCATAGATGTAGAGGATAGTATCGAAGAACACATAGGCTTACTTTTGATTTTATTTACATACCACGCGGACATTTTTAGGCTTTAAATTTTCACGCTTATAAACTGAGGAGGTTACTAAATTGAATAAAACTACTCTGTGAGAAAGGGACAAAAACTATAGCTATTACTAGCGAAGAATCAAGGTTTCCATGGTTACTTAAATTCTCAACCACTAGCAAGGGCTTTTATTTTAGATTTAGTTAACGGGCTCGTGTTGTGTTTTTAACGTATTTTGGGAATGGGTACCAACATGCTCCAGAGGTCGACTTCGGGCCCGTAGCGCCGTCCGTCGACAAACAGTTCGGGTGCCGCGTACTCCAGTGAGCCGCACGGGGTGCAAAGAGCCCCGCTGATGTTCCACATGTTTGAAAGACCGAAATCTGTACAACAGATTGCATGGTGAGAGATTGATCAAAACAATTAGGCAAGTGAATAGATAAGTTAGTTTATTTACGTACCTACAATTTTGATGAATTGTTTCGTGCTGTCGAGCATAATGTTCTCCATTTTTAAATCACTAAAAAGTAAAAGTTAATATTTCATTTTCTAGTCAATGGTCATTGGAGTTTTAATTGAGTCAACTTTTAAATGTAAGACTTTAACTTGAAGAATTTAGATTTTCGATAAGAATCCTTGCGTCCAGATTTTACCAAATAGATGTTTATAAACTATCTACCTTGGATTTCGTAGTGTGTTTATATAGGTAATTATTGTTTATGTTATTAATAAGAGTGTGACCGGTGCACGACGCCGCGGCAGTGCATGTGGCGCACGGCGGACACAAGCTGCGCGGCAAGAGCACGCGCGCGTCCCTCGGGCAAGCCCCGCGCTGCGCCGCGCGTCGCCAGCACGTGCGCGCACAGGTCGCCGCCGCCAGCCGCCTCCATCACGACATACAGCCGCGGCCCGTGCTGTAGGAACATGCCTTTTTACTAACATGGCTGGTTAAATACATCTTAAATTTCCTTAAAGATGTAACTGTTTGTCGAATGGGTCGAGTCGTGTAAAATTCGTGTCGACATCAGTGAAATGGTCACACTGCCCACAGATATAAAAGTTGTGTCTATAAATCTAAAGACAGAACTTCTGTAGATACGTCTTTTCGGATGAAGGGTAAACGGGTTTGAGGCCATTTTTCCGATATAAATATTAAATGTAGTCTTATTTCTTAAAAGGCATTTATATTTCTTTTATGATGTTTCGTATTACCATCATAGTTTCGTATAGGGCAGCGATACACGGGTGGCGCAACTTGGCCATAACTCTTGGTTCTCTGTGCAGGTTGCGGCGGGCGTATTCCTCTTTAATGCAGGTAAGATCGATTATTTTGATGGCCACCTACAATAAAGTCTAAGATACATATGCAGTATAGTCTTGATGTCAAGGAATTAAATGGTTTTTTGGCCATTTTCAAACTGGATTGGAGTTACAATTGCCGTTAAGGTGTTGCCACATGATGAATTAAAAATGAGAATAATAATCACGTTATGTTTGACTACATTGAAAGTTTTGTGCAAAAGTAAATTGGATGTTATTTTTACGCTGTTAATGAATGGAACGATTAATTCACCTTTTTTCCGATTATCCTATGCGTTGCCTCCTCAACTCTTGCGAAGTGTCCTTTACCTAATACCTTACCAGTCATAAGGTAATTGCCAACACTGTACACTTGTCCCTTCCGTGATGTGTTTGCCATCTTCATTTTGAATCACCAGTGATTTGGAACCATAATGCGTTTGCTTTTATTAAAACGCGTGTGCATTCAGAAAAACAAATTTACCCTATTATAATTACACAAATACTACATAAATCGTTGCACGTTGTAAAAGTCATAGCAGTATGTCACTATCGTTTGTTTGTTGATTGAAATTGGAACGGCGATGTCGTCTCTGACATTTTGTAATACTATTTTTAACGGCCTGTGATCGCCAGTGGATCCCTGCGACATATCAAACATTCCCACTTGTTCTCCATATACTACTTCAGATCTATTCCCTTAGGGTAACACTCCCTCATGATACAAGTCCAAGTATTAGTCCTAGTAAATTAAATGCCACTACTTTGTATAAAATTTTGACTACTAAATAATGATTTCTTCTTAAAATGTACAGATTTGAGAATTTTACGTTTATTTCTCATAATTCTTAGTATAAACACCCAAAATGTAGGTGTTAAGAACAAGAAATCCTACATTTCAAAACTTATAATTTGATGTCATTCATGTGCTTCCGCCTATAATACATTTGACATTGACATTGACACTGCCAGGACATTTACGATATTTTGATTCAGATATGACAGGGTAATAACAACCATAGAAGTTTGCAATAAGATATAAAATATCTTATTTTACAGATTGCTTTAAGAAGAAACCAAACATTGATGATATTGATAGGAAAGGAAGTTTGTCTGATTTATCACTAAATTATTTAACCTAAAATGAACCTAAACGATAAAAAAGATTGTTGCTAGTTACGCAGATAAATAGTTACAAAAAAAATTAATTGTTATCAACGTTTCACAACGTATGTAACCCTATTTTTATTATTTATTCTTGATTGTTTCAATAATTTGGCAGGTTGTTTTCTTACTTGAGAATTTAGTATTCCCAAAAACGTTAAAATATTATTACAGATTTTAGTTTTCATTAAAAAAAAAAACAGATTTAGCACAGTTGAAAGCTGTAATAGATAAATGTAATTGTAGTGTCCAATAAGAATAATTTACTAAACAAAATTACAAACAATTTTATTATTTATATACCAAATAAATTTACTACTTGTAAATTTATTTATATGATATTTTGATGAAATGTTATTTACAGGTGTATTAACATGTCTGGTGATTTAAAATTTGATAACACAATGGACACAGGGATGGCTAAGGTGAGTAAATCTACTGTTGTATGCTAGAGTAATAATTACTAATAGAATTATAATACTAACTTACTGGGACCAGTGAACAAAACAATACTATTGTGTTAAAAAATGATTATTTTGTAAAGAAATTATATCCTTAATGCTAATATTTGCAGTCAAATTAATTTAAATGCTTAATAAAAGTGTTATTTATATTATAAGGGAAACTCATAGTTAATATGAGACAGTGAATAGGAATTAGATTCTTAGGGCTTAAAATTTAACCTATTAAACTAATACAAAATATGCTTCAGTTTTATACTTACAGTTGTCTGTTCAGTTAAATATACATGCAAAATTTGAACTATTCGTTTAACTGTTCAGTTTTAAAGATTTACCCTTAGCTTACATCCAGTTTTCAATATACAGCATGTAACTTAAAACATACTGTATAATGAATAAGTACTTTTACCTTAGTTATCATACTTTTTTGTTTTTTTCAGGAATACATGAAATCTAATCCAATATTTTCCTCACTCGGGTATAGTGATGGAGCAGAATTTGAAATAGATATATGTGGTAATAAAATAATGTTCGCTGATTACCAAAGGTATATAGATCTGGTACCTTCTAGCGTGTGGGGCAATCAAGGCAGTGTTAAAGCATTATCTTTTAAATTGAGAGCATTAGCTGAATTGATTGAAGAAAAAAAATTATTATTCGCACAAATTGATTACATGGTCCGAAAGAAGCCGATAAATGAAAGTTTAAATATGGATTTGAAATTGATCGTTCAGAATATATTATATGTGAGCAGTGTTATGACAAAGAAGAGATATATCAGTAAGTTATAATCTTACTAATATTACAAATGCGAAAGTTTAGATGGATGTATGTTAGAGTTTGTAGCCTAAACAGCTGAATGGATTTCGATGAAATTTGGGATCGACATAGTGGATAGTCTGGTAGAACGCATTGGCTACTCACTTTTGTTTTTTAATTTCCACGCGGATGGAGTCGCAGGCGAAAGCTAGTATTATTATATTTAAAGTTGACTGTATGTAAGTTTGACAAATTTTACCACAATGTTGATTGTCCCTATCTTTCATTTAACTTTTGTGCGGTAGAGTTCTTCATTTTTTTTAATAAGAAAATACTGTAGCCCCAGGCCTATTATGATATAGAGTAAATCCTGTAGTCTAAACAAGTCAAGCAGTCTCAACTTGCTGGTGCCAGAAGAGGAGTGATAGCCAACATTCTGTCAAATAGACTGGTCGAAATGCGCGCGGTTTGGTTAATTCGGCTCTGTACGCACCTCCCCTCAAGTTATTTCCTCCATTCCTTTGTGTTGTTAGGTACTCTTCCCTTTTTTTATCAACATCTACAGACTCTTGGTCCGTACTCTTTTTTGCACAGTTTATATCATTTTTTTCTTTTCTTTTTTTTTGGTTGGTACTCTTCCATTAATAGGCGTAACGTCATATCAATATAATAGAGTGATCGTCGCATTTTGACGCTAATGATCTGCTTGTGTCAGGCAACGTGTTAGCGATGTGCGGCGCGTCCCCGCTGAGCGCGCTGGGCGCGGTGGCGCAGCTGGCGTGCGGTTCGCGCCATGTGGTAGTGGAGACTTCGCCCCCCACCGCCGTGCTGAGCCACCTCTTCGTCACACTGTGCCGTAAAGTTGGGTCAGTCCCATTACCTTTAAACACTAACTCCTATAAAAATCTTCAATAATATGTCACTGGGTGTATCGGTCGACACCTGGCCAGTACCTGCTTAGTAGCGGCCATTAACTGAACTGGAACTCAACTGGAAAATGTGAACTTTTACTAGCGCCAGTGAGACTATACAATCTATGCCAGGTCGGCGCAATGTCTTAACTGTACTGGCCAAGTTTAACCGGGCATTGAAGTCCATTTTTACCAGACTGACATAGCAATGTTTTCCCCTGTATGTTTGTTTTTATGTATGTAAATTTCATTGTTACAGCCTAGAGCTTAAACTATTGAACCGATTTTGACCAATGAGATTCGTCTTCTTCCCCAGAGTGTCATAGGCACATGGGCACAAAACACCTTCAGTAGACGTGAAAATTTAAATTCTATTTAAAAATCGATTTCGCATTTTACTCGACATAGCTTTTTTTATTACCATGTCTGTCGATGTTTTTTGAGGATATTTATTTTAAACAATATTTTAACTGAGTCAATGTTAAATTACAGGTTAATCGTTAGTTTGGCGTTCGTTAAGGAATCTATGTTGGCTGATATCGATCATGATGTAATAAAAGGTTAGTATTTTTTTTTTTACAAAACCGTCGTAAGACCTGTCATGATGTATGGATCTGAATGTTGGGCAGTAAAAGGGACGGATGAAAGGAGAATACATGTGGCGGAAATGCGAATGTTAAGATGGATGTGTGGTAACACGATTGGATAAGATACGAAATGAGTATATTAGAGGAAGTTTGAGAGTAGCCCCAGTGGTTGAGAAAATGAGGAGTAAAAGGTTAGAGTGGTATGGACTTGTTATAAGGGATGAATCGCATGTAACAAGAAGGGGGTTAGTTATGAATGTGGAGGGGTACACCGGTAGAGGTAGACCTAGAAAGAGATGGATGGATTGCGTGAAAGGTGACATGATCAAGAAGAGAGTGATGACTGAGATGACGGATGATAG